TGGCAGCTGGGGCTAAAGTGATCTGAAGGCTGGACTAGGTAGGATGTTAAGGACGACACACTCACATATCTGGTACTTGATGTCAACAGCTGGCTGGGAGCCCACCTGGGGCTACTGACCCCAACACCCATATGTGATTTCTTCCTTATGGTGGTCTCAGGGTAGCCAGACTTTTTACATGGCAGCTGTATTTCCCTAGACCAAGCATTCTAAAGGCCAAAGCAGAAGCTGAAAGACGTCTTAAATCTTACCCTTGGAAGTCCCAGAACAGTACTTCTACCATGTTTTATTTGTCAACCAAATTATTAAAGTCATCCCAGATTAAAGGAAGTGAATTCAATCCCAATGGAATGGAATTGTAGTGAAGAATTTGTACCCTTCTCTAATTTACAATATGTCACTTCCTAATATATTAGGTGTATAAGAGTGTGGTGACCAGGAAGTTTGCAAATCAAGGGTCATGCATTCTTTGAGCTCTTGATAGGAATGAAGCTACTGGGTCAGTACAAGTATAGGTACTTTTAGATATGCAAAGCCCGGTTTGAAATGCTCAGCTGTGAAGAAGTAAGAATGCAAGAGTTATTAATATTTTACACACAGGAACGCATATTAGTGACTTGGTAGCACAGTTAGCAGACATGGAAATTGTATGAGACTCTCTTATAAATACACAGTATCAAAGGTACTGGTGAGCATCCAGAGAAAACGTATTCCATGGGTTCCAGGGACACACGAAAAGGTAAGAGAGCAAGAAAATATAATGTTCTCAGTGCAGGGCCTGGCAAGTAAAACTACAGTCTCCTCAAAGGGTTTCTTCAAGACTTGTGGATGTTCCATTATCTGCAATAGAGATAAAGCTTTTTGAAGGATACCTTAGACTGCCAAGAACCACAGACTCTCTACCTTGAAAAAGTATAAATATATTCTAATGTATCATAGACATGTACAATGTCTAACAAAGAGAGGTGATTTCAGGGGCTCAAAAACTGTGGTTACCCAAAGGTTTATACCCCACAGGATAAGCGTTGCTAATACAAAGCCTTCACAATCAAAGGCAACCTTGGTGTACCCTCTCAGAGTTGCTGTGAGAGACAGTGTGAAGCTTGAGAAACAAATGGAATTAAAATCTGACTCTCTGAGATAATAACCTGGACAAGCTATTCTACGTTCCTGCATTTTAGTTTATTCATCTGCAAAATGGGAATATGTCCACTTCCTTGGTTTGTTGTGAATATTCAAATGTTTGTATACAGAGTATATATAAAATGTACATACATGTATTAAAATGTACATAAAATGTGAAATGTATATAAAGCACAGTATCTGGCACATAACAGATGCTCAAAAAATCTTAGACCCCTCCATCCATTTGCCTTTACACTGAAGTTAAGCGATATGTCACTAAGAAAGATCAGTCAAAATGTTCCTCCATTCCCTTTGATTCACAAAATGCCTACAGGTCTGTTTCTCTAGTTTCCTAGACTTTCCATTAAGAATTCACAAATTTCAAGGACACCTGGGTGACTCAGTTAGTTAAGCATCCAACTTCAGCTCAGATTGTGATCTTGCGGTTTGTGAGTTTGAGTCCCACGTCAGGCTCTGGGATGACAGCTCAGAGCCTGGAGTCTGCTTTGTATCCTGTGTCTCCTTTGCTCTCTGCCCCTCCTCTGCTCATGTCCTCTTTCCCTCACTCCCTCCCTATCTCTCTCTCTCTCTCAAAAATGAACATTTAAAAAAAAGAACTCACAAATTTCTTGGAAATTTCTTAGAAAGTCCACAATTTTTATTAGTAAGATTCTCAACAATACTAAGATTCTAGTATATGATGACTAGTATATGATGACTATATGATGATGGAGGGCTCATAATATGAAGTGAAAAAAATCAGGATATAAAAGTACTTACACACTATGGCTCTAATTTTATTTTTTATTTTTTTTTTAATGTTAATTTTATTGTTGAGGGAGAGACAGAGACAGAGCTCAAGCAGAGGAGGGGCAGAGAGAGAGGGAGACACAGAATCCCAAGCAGGCTCCAGGCTTGGAACTGTCAGCACAGAGCCCAACACAGGACTTGAACTCACAAACTGTGAGATCATGACCTGAGCCGAAGTTGGCGCTTAACCAACTGAGCCATCCAGGTGCCACTATGGCTCCAAATTTAAAAGGAAATGTATCCACACCTAAATATTACAGAAGAAAGAATGGAAATAAATAAGTCAAAATATTAGGTCTATCTCTGGGGAGTTACATTATGGCTATATTTTAATTTCTTCTTTATAATTGTCTTTAATTTCGCGTTTCTACAATGAATACACATAACATACACTATCCATAAAAAACGACAGTAAATGTCAATGCTGTCAAAAATACATTGTACCAGTATCAGCTTCATATGCCATGATACACAATGCATATATCCATGGATTATTATGCTCGGATATCAAACAGGAAAATATTTCAGTAGTATTGTCATATAGCTTTGAGGTTAATAAAGTTGTTTTTTAAGGTAATGTTTAATTCATTAAGACATGTTCAGTCTGGAAAAAATAAAACCAAAGAAGAGAGAGAATGGGTCACAATAAGCATGTGTAAAACCATGTGTCAGAAACTATGCTGGATCTAGGGGATACCCAGAGGAAGAAAGCATGGGCTATATCCCAAGGAGCTTTCTATTTTCTAGTGGAGACAGACATACACATAAAAACAACAGTCTTATAAATGCCAACTTGGCTGTGAGAACTCAAAGAAAAAGAACAATCAGGAAGAGGCGAGAAACCATTCAAGGATGTAAAGACAGTAAATACGAAAAGTCACAAGAACATACAACTAGTCCAGGGAATAATGAATAATCCCAGGGCTGAGGTCCGAGTTAATGGTGGAGAGGTGAGAAGAAGGAGGGTGCCAGCCAGAGAGGAATGTGGTATCCAAATAAAGCATCTGGACTTTATCGAGTGTTTTTCAAACTGTGTCTTTGGGAATGGTTTCTTAGGAAACGCAGCAAGGCAGGTTGAGTGGCCAAGGCTGTGGCGCCGACCCCTGCTTCAAACAGAGTAGCTCTGCTTTTATCTGTTCTATAAGTTGGATTTCCTGGCACGGTTTTATTTGAAGAAAGAGTTCCACGACCTTAAAAAGTCTGAAAACTGCTCCCATGCCATCAAGCTGTTGAGTGCTTTTAAGCCAAGAAAGAGCACAGTCAGCTTTCTCTCTTAGATTTGGCTTTTGAAAGACATCAGCATTCAGTGATTATACAAAAGAGAGGGCAGAGGTTATGCAGACAGCATGGAGGCTCCTGCAGGAGTGCCAGGGACAGATTAGGAAGTAAAAGTGGGGTAGTGGGGAAGGACCCAAGGGTGTATAATCTAATTTTTTAGACATTTGGGGATGACCTCAATAAGATCCAGCTACCAACTAGATGTAGGTGGTAAACAGGAGAGGGTATGACTCTGAGGCTTCCAGCATAGGGAACTATAAAGATTCTTAAATGTTAGTGTACATAAAAATCACCTATGGGACTTGCTCAAAAACAGATTCCGGAGGGTTCATCTCCAGAGATTCTGATTCAATAGGACTGGAGTAAATGGAATGCTGATGGTAATGCTGTTAACAGAGATAGAGGATACAAGACAGAAGAAGTTGAGAGAAAAAATTGAAATTTGAACACGTTGAGGTCGAAGCGCTTATGAGGCAAACATCAACAAAGATCTGTCCAAAAGGGCAGTTGGAATATGGAACTACAGTGTATCAGAGAAGTCTACACTAGAGGTATTTCAGTGGGAATCATCGGTGCTTATGTGGTCCCTAAGGTTATGCAAGTGAGAACATATGAAGAGGGCCCGGGATAGGAGCATGATGAATAATGATTAAAGAAGGGACAAAGGAACAAATGAGCTGATGAAACACTAAGAAGGGATAATCAACACAGTGGGGTATGCAGTTGAGTCTAACGAATTGAGTCAAGTATATCACTTAGACTCTATGTAGGCCACCGTTAAGTTAATATTTCAATTAACCAATCAAGTAAACTGTTACAAATCCCTCCAGCTACATGAAGTACTACACTAAACCCAGGATCTTTGGAAAATGCACCGTATCAGTAAATTCACCCCAATCCAGGGTTACATCACAAATTCCTTGCCCTAACAACCTACCTTCTAATAATATAATTAGTAAATCCTTCAATTATCTTGGTGTATAATCTAATTCCGTCAAGGTCACACTTTGTACTTGTCGCCCTGGAGCATGCTAAAATCTGGCCATCAGTTATGGACCCTGTGGTAACAAGGATTATTTGGGATGGGTGTTGAGAACAGACAACGTCTTGCATCAAAGGTAGATAGATACATGGACAGACAATAGAGATCCAGGCTAAAAATGAGTTATTGGTAAGGATATCTGAAGTTGTTTATCAAAAACCAAAGGAAAGAATAGTTCAAGATGGACACCTGAGAAGAAGTTTGATAATAAAGATTATAGTGCAGGAGACCACTTGAAGCCTGGAGAATTTCGAAGAGTCATAATGTTTTAGCAGATCCTTTTCACAGGAATCAAAGTGAGCTAATGTTGGAAAATCAGCAGAAATGTAAAATTTTCATACATTTTCATACATCATTTTCATACATGTAAAATTCATGGTCAGATAACCCTAACCCTTAACAAACACCTTAAACATTAGGGGGCTTGAAGGCCGGTATAAGAAGATGCAACATTCTGCCAATAAGTTCAGCTAACTAGCATCCAACCCCAATTAACCAAGCTGTCTTTGTGGATTGCAAATTGTTCCTAGAGAATCCCGCTTCCAAAGTCTTGTCAACATGACCTAGCTGAGAAGACACTAGATCCTTTGTGGAAAGCTATCCATGCTATTCAGGCAAGTAGCTTGCAACTCCAGGAAGATCTATGTGTAAACTAAACCAAAAGTTGACTCTCACCTACCCAGACCTCTTTTCTAGAGGAAGAAGTATCCATAAATGCAGCCAGCTTGCTGCCCCTCATATTTACTATTCTTAGCCATCTGATTGGTAATGCCATGTCTGCCAAATGCAGCAAAGAGCTGTGGAGAGTAAGATGAATAACATTTATTCCTCGAAGGTGGTCATACTTTGGTCTACACTAGGAGTTAACACAATTTTTCTATTAAGGGCCAGCCAGTAAATATTTTAGGCTTTCTGGTCCAAGAGGCAAAACTATTTTGTAGATACTTACATAATAAGAGAAAACAGATGCCCAGAAATATTTTATTGACAAAACTCAAAAAACAAAAAATGATTGAATATTCGTGTCTGTTTTTGTTTGTTGATTGGTTTTTTGGTAACACAGATTCACCAATGAGAAGAATGGAATTGTAGGGCAGATAATGTTTCACTTATCTGTTTCATGTTAGTATTCCTATAATCAAAATTATTGTGTGCCTGACTGCATCCCAGACCTACTAAATTTGAACCTGAATTTTAACAAGAGGCTCCAGTGATTTGCATGCACCCTAAAGTTTGAGAACACACCAGTCTAGAGTCTCTTAGTACCATTGGAACTGCATCTCTATTCCTTAAAATTTTTTTTAGCGTTCATTCATTTTTGAGAACCAGAGAGAGACAGAACATGAGCAGGGGAGGGACAGAGAGAGACGGAGACACACAATCGAAGCAGGCTCAACACAGAGCCCGACACGGGGCTCGAACTCACAGACAGTGAGATCATCACCTGAGCCAAAGGTGGAGGCTCAACCAACTAAGCCACGCAGGCACCCCTGCATCTCTACTCCTTTGGGAAAGATAACAAGAGCTATGGATCCTAAAAAAGGTTCACGACCATTTGAAGTCCATTCAAGATCTCCTACAGGGTCTGTAGCCCTGAAGCTAAGACCTCAGGGACTTTGCTGTCAGGCCCACCCCAGGATGAATATGTTCTAAAATTAGATTGTGGGGATGGTGTTTAACGTATGAATATATTAAAAAAACATTGAACTGCACACTCCAAATGGGTAGATCTCATGGTATGTGCATTTTCTCTCAGTAGAGCTAGGGGGTTTTTTAATCAAATTAAAGAATTTGGTGGTAAGGCACTGTAGTTTTAAAACTTCCCACGGGTTTCCAAAGGACAGCTCAAACAGCCAATTGCAAGAACTCCAGGTTTTGGAGTCAGGAAGCTCTGAGTGGAAATCCCAGCTTTCCTACCTACTATGTTAAAGAAGCTATTTAATCCTTCTGAACCTCAGTTTATTCTTACGTAAACTGGAGATACTGATAATATCCACCTCATAGGGTTTCTGGGAGAATCAAAAGGAATGGCTAATGCCAAATGCCTAGCATCATTCCCTGTCACATACTCTTGTTCCATGTGAAGCCACAGAATTCCTCAGATAGCAAATGCAAAGCCAAAAAGAAACCATTATTATACTTCACGTTATCCAAGTCATAATCAATTATATCTGTTCTGTTACCCATGTGGCATTATATTTTACATTGGGTTGTATATTTCCGGCTTCATTAGTACACTTGCCTTAACTCCTTTACCTTATGGCTCATGGTAAAAATGATGGTAAACACTCACATAGCACTTACTTACAAAGGCCAGGCCCTGTTGCAGGGTCTTGGTTTACATATGTTAAGTCATGCAATTGTCGCATCAACACTTGGACTTACTTATTTTTATCATTACCATATTACAGAGAGGGAAAACAAGGCAGAGGGAGACTAAAACACGTGCCCAAGGCCACACAGCGCACAAGTGGTGGAGGGGGGATTCCAAATAAGCCAGGTTTCCTCTAGTGACTGTGTTCACGACCATTATACTGTATTATATACCCACATAATTTTGTCTTGGTCACTCTTATACCAAGGCCCAGTACTCCTGCTTTTGAGGGTGCACATTTGTAGGTACCAAAAGACTGTACAAAGATGGACATACAGACACATCAGAAAAATGAAAGATGGACCGCAGTAAATACAGATCCTTTCTTCCTAGGAAAGGTGGGGTCTGTGGCAATGCTGCTCTAAATGTGGTTCACCTGGATGGCTCAGTCGGCTAAGCGTCCAACTTCGGTTCAGGGCATGATCTCACAGTTCATGCGTTCGAGCCCCACATCGGGTTCTGCGCTGACAGTGTGGAGGCTGCCCGGGTCTCTCTCTCTCTCCCTCCTTCTGCCCCTCCCCCACTTGCACGCGTGCTCTCTCACTCTCAGGATAAATAAATAAAACTTAAAAAAATAAAAATATTTAAACGTGGTTCACATACTGGTGCTGGGACACGAAACATACAAAACTGATAACATTTAAAAACTTTTATAGAAATTTGACAGTGACATGCCAAAGGAGTGTGTCATCCGTGGAATCATGACACAACACAATTAAAAAAAAAATGTTAGTCTGAGGTGGCTTGGAAAATTAAAAACAAAGAAACTGGTTCTTTGCCACAGATCATTTGGGAAACAACACTGTTCTCGATGTTTTCTTTTTCTTCAAATGTTCCTCAAGCTAGGTGTTCTCTCTACCAAGAACAAAGCTTGGAGGTCAGAACATCAAGTTTTATTAGAAGACAGTATAGAGAAAACGTAGGATAAGACGCTGGAACAGCTTCTCCTGACTAAAAAAGGAAATGAAACCTCCAGCAGTGGTCAGGATGTGGAGAGGGTAAAGAAAAATAGGTTAGGAAGGGCCTGGTGCTACTTGGCTCTTGCAAGCATGGCCTGAGGAGCTCAGCTGGGGGAGGGGAACTTAGCGTGGTTGAGATAACAGGAAGTCTACAGGGACCAGCAGACCTACAAGCCCAGAGAATTCAGGATCCTCTTCCCCAGAGAATGCAGGCTCCTCTACCGTTGACAAAAGTTCATAGAGAGGATGCCAATTGGTGAGACATTGGGAACAAGGCCAAATCAGCAACAGCTTTATAGACGCCAGCACAGATTGGGTGAGCCTATGAACCAGGAAGAAAGGTAGAAACCAGGGGAGGAGAAAAAATATCCCAGGGAGATACTTCTAGAAGTACTTAATTTGACCAAGGTCAAATGACTCACAGACATGACTAAACCAAGACGTGATCATGGTTACATGAAAAACACTTGAATAGTCCTTGGGTCATAGTAAACCACAGAAAGTGTGACCAGTTACTAAGATTATTAGTGGCAGCAACGGACCTACATTTTATGTTTGCTGACCCAGGGTCAATAGTTTTTCAATATAATCAATCGAATATTATCCCTGGATTTTATCCTCATTGTTCAGGAACCTATTCTGTAGATCTGTGTGGTGCTAATACTTAGTTACATCCTATTGTGCTTAAGTATAAAACCAAACACACAACTATTACTCACAAGGACAATAAAAAAGTCAAACAGGAATTCACTTGAAAGAAAATCAATAGCTATTTTGTTTGCTGTATATAACTGATTTAGAAATAACCTTCCTGTGTTTGGAGCTCAAACTCAGTAATAGCCAACCAAATTAGATGACAGTTATGAGCAGTTTGAAGTAAGTTAAATTCTTCCTTCTTAAGCATGGCTATTGCAAACAAAACAATCTAGTCTTTTCTTTTTCCAAATTATTGACTGGAGTTCCTTGTAGTTATTTTCCCGGGCTGCTTTCTTAATCAGAGGGCAGTGATTCTTTGTCACAAAATGTGTTTTAATATATGTCTAGTCCTAGTCAAAATGTAAAACTTTAAAATCATACATTTGTTTGTAGACACAGACATCTTTGGATATCCCATTATTTACTGAAAGTCGGAAAAAATGCCTATTTGTATTAGGCCCTTACTGCTTTGTTTGAGACCATATCCTTGATATATCAACTGATTTAAATGAAATTCATTTCAAACATTTTAATCATATACTGATTTTAATGTAATTTCACGCCAGGAGACTAAAAATCATTGCTGTCTACATACGGCTCTTGGGAGGATCTATTAATAGATTTTTCTATACTCTCGACACATGAATTAAATAAATATGTTCATTACGACCTTTCTTGGCCTGTGTTTACCAAGTGGGCTGTTGCTGAACTATTTGCAATCCAAATAAAAGTATGTTTAGATTCAAAGTCTATTTTTGAATCCTGGAACATCATTATTTGATGGCGACATTCCAAGTATGATTTCTCTACACACAGCTCCTATCCCAACTCCGTATTCTCTGGTAAATCTATCACTTCCATTCTTAGAATAAACTGTTAATGTTCAATGAGTTTTTCAAAATTACATTGTTTGGTTTGGAAAATTTTACTTGTTTTAGTTATTTATTTATTTTTAAAAAGTACCTCTTAAAGTTGCTTCTTTATACATCTTCCTAATTTCTCTCCAAGTCCTGATAACACTTTTGGAAATATTTTCTGACTGTACAACACCAAAGTGAAGTCTATTTACATGAACCACAGACCCCTCAACGAATTGGACGTGTTTTAATGTAGGAACAGAGTGCTTCCTGGCATTCGATTAGAAAGATTAAATCAAATTAGCCTGGATAAGTCAACTGTTGCAAGGACTGGAAACTGCTAAATTAAACTCTAACATGAGTTACAAACGGTATTATGTCTACTTGGAAATGAATAAAGTTATTAAGGGGTTCAGTGGAGGAAAGACTGATTTTAATATTTTTATTCAGTGAAGAAGAAAATGAAGTAAAAGCCTATTAAATTATTTTCATAGCCAATAATGCTTAAAGTAAAAAGAAAAACATGAAAGTGAAAGAACACTTAAATGAACAAGGAGTTAAAATAGGAAAATGAAATAACACAGTAATTCTAAATACTGAGTTTGAACTTTTGAAATGTTAGCAAAAACAAAGATGGAAACGAACACACCTTCAAGAGAATATCCCTGTGGCCAGAAACCACAATGAAGTAACAGTGCAAAGTACCCGCCAGTTTACAGTATGATATGCTGTCTAGGAAATAGAGAAGATCATTATTTGAGACCTTTGATGTTCGCATACAGAATCATAGATGAGAAAAAAAATCAGACTCCTCTTGCAAAGACACTGGGAAACTTAGTACAAATCTCATTTTCGTAATTTTTATATGTTATGAAAAACTATCAAACATTTAATAGCACTTGTCAAGGAGAACT